AAAGATGGAATCTCACTCTGTCACCAGGCTGGAGTGCAGTGGCGTGATCTTGGCTCACTGCAACCTCTGCCTCCCCAGTTCAAGCGATTCTCCTACCTCAGCCTCCTGAGTAGCTGGGACTATAGGTGCGCACCACCACGCCCAGCTAATTTTTGTATTTTTTGTATTTTTAGTATAGACGGCCTTTCACCATGTTGGCCAGGATGGTCTCAATCTATTGACCTCATGATTCGCCCACCTTGGCCTCCCAAAGTGCTGGGATTACAGGCATGAGCCACTGCACCTGGCCCAAAATATTTTTAATTGCTCTTAAAAGTACTGTCATAGTTCTATCCACTTGAATTTAAATTAGAAAAGTTCTAGTGAAAGTAATGGCAAAAACCACAATTACTTTTGTACTAACCTAAAAATTATAAAATTATTATGCTTATTATTCTGATATTATATGCTTTTATTAAAGGATTCCAAAAAAAAAAATCTTAGTACTTAGCAACACTTTGCCAGGTCCTAGAAACATATAATAAAAACAGAGTTTCTTCAGAGGTTAATTTTGTAATTCCAGTATTGTATCAATTTAGGCCAAAATTCCTCCTCAAAGTTTTAAGCAGTGCCAATTACAGAATATTTAAATAGATACTAAATCTGGTTGAAAGAGGGACTAGAAAGTTTGTTTTGTTTTGCATTTTCTTTGTAACTGAATTTGTTTTTTAATATTTTAATTGCTAAAGTAATAATACACTTATTTTAAGAAAGTAAAAATAATAATAATAAGGTTTTTGAGAAAAAGTAAATAATCTTGTCCCTTTCCAGGCCCATCACCGTGAATTAACAACAATGTTTACAGTGTGGAGTGTCTTCCAAAGGGAGTTCTTAAAAAAAGTTTTATAAAGAAACCAAGTCAAAAACTACCCACAAAGAAAGCCCAGGCATAAATGGCTTCACTGAGGAAATCTATGACAGATTTAAAAATAATTAACACTAGTCTTTCACAGACTTTTCCAAAAAATAGAAGATGAGGAAACACTTACTAGCTCATTCTATGAGGCCAATATTACCCTGATACCAAAAACAAAGATATCACAAGAAAGTTACACACCATATCCATGTTGAATATAGAAGCAAAAATCCTCAACAAAAAACTAGGAATCCAAATTCAGCAACATATAAAAAGAATTATACACCACAACTAAGTGGTACTTATTACAGAAATACAAGGTTTGTTTAACTTATGAAAATCATTCAATGTAAGACACCATTTTAATAACAGACAAAACCACATGACCATCCCACCAGATAAAGAAAAGGCATGTGACAAGATCCCACACCTATTCACGATAAGGAAACACTCAACAAACTATGAATGGAAGGAAATTTTCTCAATGCAATGGGTATCTACAAAACCCATAGCTAACGTCAAACTTAAATGATGAAAGACTAGATGCTTTCTCCCTAAGATCAGGAACAAGAAAAGGATGTCTGCTTTCAACACTTTTATTCAATGCTATACTAAAAGTTCTAGACAAAGCAACTAGACAAGAAAAATAAAATGTATCCAGATCATAAAGGAAAAAACAGAATTATGTTTGCAGATGACATTACCTTGTATACAGACAGTCCTAAGGAATCCACCTGAAAAACCTTTTAGAACCAATAAACAAGTTCAACATCCAATTACCAAATCAATATACAAAAATCAATTGTATTTATATACACTAACAATGAACAATCTGAAAATAAATTAAGAAAGCAATTCCATTTACAATAGCATTTAAAAGAATATAATACTTTGGAATAAATTGAACCAAAGAAGTGTACGACTTCTACACTGAAAACTGTAATAAATTAATGAAAGAAGAAGGCAGCCTAAATAAATGGAAAGATATCCCATGTTCATGGATTGGAAGATTGTATATTCTGAAGATTACAGTATCCGTATTGAAATTGCAGCTGCCTTCTCTGCAGAAATTGACAGGCTAATACTAAAATTTATATGGAAATGCAAGGGACCCAACAGCTAAAATAATCTTGAAAAAGAACACAGTTGGAGGACCACTTTCCCAATGTCAGAATTTATCATTAGGCTACAATAATCAAGACAGTATGCTATTGGCCTAATGACAAAAATATAGTTCAATGGAATAAAATTGAAAACCCTGAAAAATACCTTACATTTATGGTGAATGAATTGATTTTTACAAGGGTGCCAAGACAATTCAACAACATGGTGGCGAGTGTGTAGGGGCAGAAGTCATCTTTTCAACAAACGGTTCTGGGATAACTGGATATCCACATGCAAAAGAATAAAGTTAGACCCCTATTTAACACCATATACAAAAATTAACTCAAAATGGATCAACAATTCAAATGTAGGAACTAAGACTTCAAAACTCTTAGAAAAAAACTACAGCAGTAAATCTTTCTGACCTCAGGTTAGGCAATGGTTTCTTAGATATGACACCTAAAGTACAAACAATCAAAGAAAAAAATATACATTTTTGACTTCATATAAATATTTTTCTACCTTAACCATGTAAAAAGTAAAAGAAAACCCACAAACAGGGAGGAAATATTTGCAAATTACATTTCTGATAAGGAACTTGTGCCAAGAATATATAAAGAATTATTAAAATTCAACAATAAAGACAACTCAATTATAAGTAGGCAAAGGATTTGAATAAACATTTCTCCAGAGAATATATACAAATGGCCAATAAACACACGAAAAATGTTCAACATCATTGGACATTGGATAAATACAAATCAGAACCAAAACAAGGTATCACTTCACATCTACTAGGATGGCTATAATTATAAAAAGATGGACAATAACAAGTGTTGGTGAGGGTATGCAGAAATCATAACCTTTATGAATTGCCAGTGGGAATGTTAAATGGCACAGCCACTTTGATAAAGTTTAGCAGTTCTACCAAAAGTTGAACATTGAGTTACCATGTGACTCAGCAATTTCACTAGGTATATATCTAAGAGAACTGAAACATGTCCACACAAAAAACTGTACACAAATATTCACAGCAACATTATTCATAATAATCAAAAGGTAACAACAAGCCAAATGTCCATAAACTGATGTACAGGTAAACAAAATGTGGTATATCCATCCAGTGGAATATTATTTAGCTATAAAAAGAAATAAAGCACTAATACATGCTGCAACATTGATGAACCTTGAAAACATTATGCTAAGTGAAAGAAATTAGATACAAAAGACCACATATTTTATCATTATATTTTTATAAAATGTATAGGCAAATCCATACAGGCAGAAAATAGATTAGTGGTTGCCAGGGAATGAAGGAAAGAGAAAACAAAGGATTGGGGACTGACTGCTAATGAGTATGAATTTTCTTTTGAGGGCAATAAAAATGTTCTGGAATTAGTGGTGACATTTGTACAACTTTGTGAATACAATAAAAACCACTGAACTATACACTTTAAAAAGGTGAAATTTACATAATGTGAATTATATCTCAATACAGTTATAATTTTAAAAGTGGTGAAAATGAGTCTTTGGAAAATATATATATATATATATATATATTTTTGGAGATGGAGTCTCGCTGTGTCCCCCAGGCTGGAGTGCAGTGGCGCGACCTCGGCTCACTGCAAGCTTCGCCTCCCGGGTTCACGCCATTCTCCTGCCTCAGCCTCCTGAGTAGCTGGGACTACAGGCGCCCACTACTGCGCCTGGCTAATTTTTTGTATTTTTAGTAGCGACGGGGTTTCACCGTGGTCTCGATCTCCTGACCTTGTGATCCGCCCGCCTCGGCCTCCCAAAGTGCTGGGATTACAGGCGTGAGCCACCGCGCCCGGCCGGAAAATATTTTTTTTAAGTCAGAAGTAGTGAGGCATTTTAAAAACGAATAATTTTATGCTCTTTTCCTTTATGAGCAATGACATTGGCAGGGTGAGGTGGTGGGGAGAGACCTTTTTGTTTCTTTGAGTGCAATTACAAACTACAAGAGGAAACCAGTGGCCCACAAAATAGCTCTTGTTTCTCATTCCTTTTTTCTCATTTGGTGAATCCCTTCCTCCCTCCCTTCCTTCCTTTCCTCCCTCCCTCCCTCCCCCACTTCCTTTCTTCTTTAATTAGAAGATGAATTTTCTGTATACCCACAACACGTATTATATCCTTGAACTCGATGAGCCTACTTTTGAGTTCACAGATACCTCTTTAACAAAGAAGGAGGAGGTAAACATTTAATAAAGAGTATATAAGAATATCAAATAACACTTACCTATGTCCTCTAATCTCCAACATGTCATATCAGATTTAATTACACCATCTCCATTTTCAGCTTCCACCTCAATGGTATAATTATCTGGGATCGTTATTCTTGGAAGGAAAAAAGAGCACGAAGCACGATTTTCACTTGTAGAACTACTGGTTGTACAATTATCATGTTTTTTTCCAAAAGCGCTTTGAAGGAAAAAGTTATTCAACATGAGTTTAGTACAATGGTTTGGAAACTTAGCCATATTTAATGTATTAAGCAGTATTTGTTAGTTTTTCTCTGGGTTTCTCTTGAGAACTGTATAGTCCAGGATATTTGGTTGCCCTCTTTCCAACTTCCTTCCTCACCTCCAAGGAAAGGTAAAGGTTACCTGCTTTCTGCCACCTGAGATGCTTTAGGAGCCATGAAAACCTCTTTGGATCCCTGTAAGTCATGAAAAGTTACAGTTGCAGTGTATGTCCTATTGGCAAGAAATCATGGGTAGGTTCCTGAAAAAGCCAGATTCTAGCCTTAAAAATTTATTCTTTTACATATGTATGTAAAAATATATTTTTATATATAAGGATTTGTTAAATACATTACGGTAGATACATAAATAGAATTTAAAATGATGGTTTTTAACATACTATATTGATTGATATGGAAAGATGCATCTACTGTTGGTGAAAAAAGTAGGATGCATATCATGTATAGAACGATCATAGTTACATAAATATAAAGATATTTACATAACTATTTGTAGAGATATCTAGAGAGATCATCAAAATGTTCAAGTTGTTACCTTTGGCAGTGGGATTCTGGGTAACTTTTTACATTCTTTATAAGTTTTCAGGTTGAATTTTTGAACATTAGTATATATTGTTTTCAGAAAAATCTTTAAAACAGATAGATTGATGATAGATTAGATATATACTATCAAGCTGTAACTTAACGAAAACAAATACACATATTAGTGGGAATCAGATGGGTGGTTCTAGCTATAGTCCACATGGTTCTGGGGATTGTGGAGGAGATAAAGCAGGCTGAGAACAGAAAAGAAGGCCCACCTTGCAAGGTACCAGTGTTCGCTGGTGTGCAGGAAGAAGTCATACAGGAAGACATAGTCACATAGAATCATGGAATTTTGAAACTAGAAAGGACCTCAAGAGTGGTTGATGGTTATTTTACAGCACAAAAATGGCCTCCAGGGCAATGTGTCATGGTTATAAGCACAGGTTCTAGAATCAGACCAGGTTTGAATCATGGCTTTGCCCCTATTAACTGTGTGACTTGGGCAAGTTCTTTAACCTCTCTGTGCCTTAGTTTTCTCATCTGTAAAATGAAGACAGTAATGTATCTATAGCATAGGGTTATGAGGATGAAATGAGCTAATACACATAAGGCACTTTTAAAATGTCCAGCACAGAGTCAATACATGTGAGCTGTTACTACTGTTATTGTAGTTGAATGCTTCTGCATTTATTCATGCTGTGACCTTTGAGAAATGACCTTTCTCTCCTTTTCCACACCTTTAGACCTCCTTTCAGCCTCAGTTCAAAAATCACTATCTCCATGAAGGCATCCCCAACTCCTCCTTTTTTCCCCAGGAAAAATTATTTCCTATTGTTTCTGGACATCAGAAACATGACCCACTGAAAAGTGCTCCCAGGTAGGCCATCCACAGGGAAACCCTTCCACTTTGCTTGGAAGAGATCCTCTTGCAAAAATGCAAGCAGTCTAGGAGTTCTGGAGAGCCTAGCTGGCCTGAGGCCATCAAGGGGAGCTGTGTATAGGCCTGGGGACGCCCAGGTATTTTCTATTTCTCCATGTCCAACTGGTGATAATAATGACAACCCAAAGGGAAAGATGGAGGAAGAGGGGAAATGTTTCTATAAGACAGAAAAATAGGAGTAAACCTATAAAGGTGCCCAGATTCTCATTCTACTAGCAATTGATATTCAACACTGGGACTAGAACTGACAAATCTGGAAGAAAAGTCATTTGGATCATGGGTTATTAGGCCTCTATCATTCTTATTTTCTAAAACAGGGATGAGCAAATGACAGCCTGTAGGTCAAATATAGCCTATCTCTTGCTCTCGCACAGCCTGTAGGCTTAAGACTATTTACATGTTGTTAATGGTTGAAAAATAAATAAAACGAAGAAAAATACTTTGGGGCATGTGAAAATTACATAAAATTCATATTTCAGTGTCCATGGATAAAGTTTTATTGGAAAGCAGCCATGCCTATTGGTTTATATATTGCCTATAGCTGTGTGAGTGCTATAGCAGTAGTGTTGAAAAGTTCTGACAGAGACCGATCTCCTTCTGAATATTACTATATTTACCATCCGGCCCTTTACAGGAGAAGTTTGCTGACTCCTATTTTAAAGCATCTCTCTGACATAGGTGCCCATAGCTATATCAGTGCTGCAGAGAATACTGCTTGTTTTTTTTTTCATTTTTTCCACTGAAAACATAAAGTGGACTTCCCTTGCAACATGAGATTTTGCTTAAAAACAAAGAATTTGCAATCACAGACTAAAGATCATCTTACAATGCTTCCCAACATGGGCCCCCTTATTCATTATTCACAAGAAGGAAGTAATGAGCTATGTTAAAAAGTTTTGTTAAAAAGGACAGGCACGGTGGCTCATGCCTGTAATCCCAGCACTTTTGGGGACTGAGGTGGGCAGATCACTTGAAGTCAGGAGTTCAAGACCAGCCTGGCCAACGTGGTGAAACCCCGTCTCTACTAAAAATACAAATGTTAGCCAGGTATGGTGGTGTGCACCCGTAATTCCAGCTACTTGGGAGGCTGAGGCAGGAGAATCACTTGAACCTGGGAGATGGAGGTTGCAGTGAGCTGAGATCACGCCACTG